TATATATATATATATATATAACTGCGTGCCAAAACCTGGCTCGTAAAGGATTTGGGACCCTTGGAAAAATTTGGTTTTCATGAGGTTTACTTCTATAAGCTAAGAAAGTTTCTGTATAATTTGATCTTTCTCGGATTCTTAAATTTGATCTGGCACATCTGGATTAAATCCTGATATTTAAGCAATAAAAAGAGTGGTTTGACCATTAATTCATGCATGGAAACATATTATAACGAAGTCAATATTTAGGCAGAAATTTGTAACTTAATCGGTAATTTTGCTGGCTTTTAGCTGTTACATGGAATTGAACAAGGAATGTGGCACATTCTTGTCCACTTCTACCACAGACTGAGAGCACCATGTGAGTCCATACAACATGGACTATGAGTCCAATAGATTGTTCACTATCCTAGTTTTTGTTTTAAACTTAATCATGATATATACAAGATTCCCATGTCTTAATAAGAAAACTTCTTGTGGCCAACACAACTAACAAAAAGTAAGAATTAAAACTTTCAAACCTTTGGAGATTCTTGACACTAATATGAACAAAAAAAATCCAATTAATTGCATAAACAAAACGTACCACAAAATCTTGATAACACAGTCCTCTTGCTTTACAGCGCAAGAATCACGGAAGAAACTCTACAAGAATTCATCAAATTTACTACAAGAATTTCTATGATATAATTGTAACATTGGTTCTAATTTTCTGGAGTTGGCAAAGGATAACGACACAAGGGACACACACGTTTAGTTTTGAGCCATTTGAGAATACACTGTTGATGAAACGCATGATGGCATGGCATTGTGCAGCTCTTGCAGTTGATATTCAACCCTTCTAAGCAGATACAACATTCTTCACTCCCTTCCGTATCCGTACGTTTCTTCAAGAATGTCTTTAATATGGTCTCATTGGAGTGGTTCATTCCGGGAAACGTCCTCGATTCTTCCATAACTCCATCGATTCCAGCAGGATCCACTATTATAATTGTCAAACTTAAGGGGATGATTCGGTGCTGAGATTCCGAAACAATGCTACTATCTTCAAACAATTCTTGAACTGTAGAAACAACGCTTTCTGATATTTCAGCAATCGACTCAATGGAGAAACTTAAGCCCGACAACAGTGACCCTAAGAAATTTTGCCCTTCTTGGACGAATTCACGACAAGATATTGATAATGGAGAAAATCGATTCCGTAATCCTTGTGGAATTGTGTGGACTGTGTGATATATAACTTTGATGTCGAAATTGAAAGTATCACCAGGCTCCACCGTGGTGTGTTGGTTGTTCAACCTAACCACATTGTAGTAGTAATGCTGTGACTGCATTCTCTCTGAATATGTTAAAGAAAACAAACTAAACAAGACTTTTCTGCAAACTTTTCAGAAAGAAATTGTCTTTAGAGGAGGATGACAGATACAAATTAATATCCAAATTCATATATATATATATATATATATATATATATATATATATATATATATATATATATATTTTGGTATTATATTATTCAATTAATGAATTAAATCCTATTCATATAATAGTTTCATTTTATCTTTATAGTACAATTCAGTTGTGAATAATAAAGAAATATCTTTTTAACAATATTAAATTAATTTAGTTTTTGTTACGTGTATAATTAATCGTGGTCCATTCGTAACACTTTAATTTTAATTTTAAGATGTCACAATTATAAAAAAGAATTTAAAGTTTTTATAATCATAATATCATCGTGAAAATCCAAATTCAATAAATATTTACAATTAAAAAAAAATAAACCATACTTTTAATTTAATTTGAAAATATAATTTCAAATAAAATAGTTATTTCAAACAACCTTAAATTCCTCTTACTCTCTCAATCTACTTGTCGTGTTATACAACATCCAAACTATTGTAGGTGAAAATCACAATCACAAACATAAGGGTGAGCTAATTGAGGTTCAATCATAAGCAAAATAACATAACTCACAAATGATAAACATTTATTGCAATAATAAACCCAACAACACACACTAACAACTTAAATATTGTCATAGATCATCATCACAAACTAATGGTTTATCTCTCGTACCCTACCATACTACTTGTTCATTAGAACCAACAAGTTTGAGTCGCATTGCCATGGAGCACCAGCTAGGGATGACAATGGGTCGGGTCGGCTCTAGCACGGATAGTGTCTACCCGCAACCCGACCGCTACCCGCATGGGTACCCGCTTAGAAAATATTCGCGAGTATTTTAATACCCGCTACCTGTTACCCGTGGGTAAGAAATATCTGTAGGTAGTTACTACCCGTTGCGGATTTTATCCGTGGATACCTGTACCCACAAATCTTTTTGTCATTCCTAGCACCGACCCTATCCTCATCCTGCATCCACAGTCGAAGAGAATCCATTTTCTGCATCCGTGGTCGAAAGAGTTATCAACACTTAAATTGATCCTTTTCTCGCATCCATGGTTGAAGAGAATCTTTTTTCCACATCCACAACCGAAAGAGTCATCACCACTCAAACTCATCCTCTTCTTGCATCCACGACCAAAGATAACCTCTTTTCTACATCCACAGTCGAAAAAGTCATCAACACTCAAACCATATTATCTAGCTACCTTGCTCACAAATTAATTCTCCCATATCAGCATTTTCAAAACAATTCTCCCTTAAATATTAACACCTCCAATGTAAAACTAAAACTTAACCATTTGACTCTATATTAGGTGCACCCCATCTTTTCTAAATGTCATGTTGCTATAAAAAAGGTAATCACACACTTCATGTAATAAACAAAGGGGTGGTCCACATAAGCACTAGGATGTCACCTCTCTCTTCCTAACTATTAAACTCGCAAGTCCCACTAATTTAACACAAATGTCATGCACACACTTAAAATCATGTAACAAAACATAGAAGAAGTTTTCCTATCTCTTTTTAAAGTCACGACTGATGAGAGGGTCACACCTCCCACAAAAGTTGTGCATAAAAGAATGCAGTATAGACTAGGCAGTGACTCCTAGGTCGTCTCTCAAGGACCAAATGTGGTTCGAGTCTTAGGACAAACACGCAGTGGGGGGGGGGTTTGAAAAGTTTGTGAATGCGGATGAACTAAATTAAAACTTAAAATTAAACACAACTGAGTACAATTAAAGATATTCAATTGCATCACCTAAACTAGAACATTAAATGCACAATGTTGTAAGCTATCCTACACATTCACCACCAATAAAAAATCATTTCAACATATAATATAAAATATTTTAAGGCAAAAGAAATAAAAGAAAATAAACTTCTCTACCATTAACCACTCATTCATCTATCAAAAGAAATTGAAATTGGCAAATGCTTCTAAAACATACTCCTTGGCCGTGACACTTCCGAGTGCTCTCTTTAAAGAAAATTAAAATCATTGGAATGCTTCTTCCTTCCAGCATGGTGCCCT